CGGACTCATACTCACTTCTCACGTTCAGTTGAAAGCCATTGTTTGTATGAGTCTTTTTGCCAAGGAAATTCATTCACTGGAAAATCTGTGCAGAGYGCCCAGAGGAGCAGTATGATCTCAGTTAAAACTTAGTTGGTGTAAAAATGTAAATGAACATTCACTGACAAGTTACCACCACAGCCCTTGACCTCAGGATCTTGTTTTCCCTTCACCAAGAAAATTGTCAGCAAAACATAGCTGCAAAAATACTCCGTGAAAACTACTGACAAACAAGAAATTTGTTCTAGCTGAAAGGACTGGTTTGTGAGAGCCAGTCATAAGGAAGGGATAGGTCCTGTATTTTTGGGGTTGCAATAGGGGCCATACAAACTGAAAAAGAGAACACAGCCAGCCCTCAAAGGCTGAAGCAACAGGGCGTTCCCCACACTATGGTGAGGTGACACACTAAAAAACCAAGTTACAAAATAATGGGTCGTGTTGTTTGTCTCAAACCAAGGCCAGCAGCAATGACAGTGTGTTGCTTTGCTTTAAAGGGTCCTGGGATCACTGCAGAACTCCCCAGAGTTTTCAGAAGCCTTTTCATGCACCACAGCAGACAACATGGATCCTGCTAAGAAGTGCCGTGTTTGGTGACAGACTGCAAAGCTCACATCTCAAGGAGTTTTCCAGGAAAAGACCTTTCCAATTGATTTTGAGAAGGGGAGGAGGCAAGAAAACTGAGGGGAATATGCCAGAGACATGACTCTAAATCTTGATAACATTCAAATCCCAAATCATCACCCATGAAGGCACTGAAGAAGGACTAAGGCAGCGCTGAGGTGCTGTGGCTGCCCGGCTGTTCTCCCCCACGGGGCCCTSTAGGACCTAACTCACCTGGCAGTGCACAGCAACAACACTTCACCTGTAGTTTAATCTGGTCCTCAGAGCCAGGGGCTTTTTGGATTAATTTTAAAATAGCRAAGTGTAACATGATCTCCCCCCAGCCCATAAATGCAGCTTTCTGACTGGGGGAGCAAGAAAATATTCAGCAACACATATTTCAGCCATCGTAACATGACAGACAACAGTTTATATCCCAGTGTCAGACTTTGTACCCTCTGCTGTTACAGGAAACCTGTTCTGCCAAATGTTTTCGTTTTTACTTGAAACCATTTATACAAGAGGAGTCCAAAGACCTGCTGTACTTAAGTAACTTCTCACTAATCACTCCGGTGTGTATTACCTGAAGCCCCTATGTACAACAGTTTATCTACAGCTTTCCAGCAACTGAAATTGTAGGTAATTTATTAATTTTGGAACCTRTAATCTGTAAGATTGTGATCAAAGACTCTTTCACCGTTTTCTAAGCTTTTTCTTGCTTTCTCTAAAGTTGCTCTTTTTWAAAGTTTCTAGTAATGTATAAATCATAGCTTTTATATTTAAATCTTGAGCTACACTTTCGACTTGAAGTATTGTAACATATTTTATCAGTGGCTGCATWGAACTAGGAAATTGGAGTAGAGCACAGTATTGGGCAATAAGGTAAAGCCTACAAAACTGAGTTCTCCAATGGAGGCCACCAACATTGGATTTTTCAGGCTGCCTGTCAATGCTYTTAGGCTCTGATCCTGCACATAACTGTACGTGTTCTGATCGATGYCAGTCCTCACATCAGGAAAGCTGCACAGCTGATAGCAAGAGTCTGAAGGAGCTTTTAGAGGGTAAAAGGCTTTAAATCTGCAGTGATATGTATTAAACATCCTCATGCAGATTGCAAAGGAACTTACTGCTTTGTTTATCAAAGCAAAGGCATTTCCAAACCAAGTACCAGATACCTCAGATGACTGCTACAATAGGTCTATTTAAAAACCTATATCCTTTTAGCTTTCTRAGTTTGTCATCTGATCAAAACATTTTGATAATAAACTGAAATTATGAGCCGAATGCAGTGTGCGTTCTTCATAGGAATTATAAAAGCACAAAACAAAAATTGTCTGCAAATAAATGTCTGCACTTGCCCCTGAGCCCCGCAGCTCAGCAAACACAGACCACAACAAACAAATGCCTCACACAACTCCCAGGGCTGGCTTTCCACAGAAGGGGACCTCTCAGAGTGGGGAAACGCAGAGCTCCTCTATTTGAACACAGAAACCAACATTTCACACAGGAACCAACATTCCCCACAGCTTGGCACAGACCAAAGACAAAAAACGCCTCCAGCGCTCTGAGGGAAGCTGGAACGGGACGGGAGCCAGGCGGGCCCTGCACAGGTGAGGGAACGGCCGCAYCTGGCCGTGCCCTGCGGACCGGGCGGTTCCGCCGCTGCCCTGAGGGCTGAGGGATCCCGGCGCAGGCCGAGGCACCCCAGCCACATCCGCACCGCCAGCGGGGCTCCTACCTGAGCCGTGTCCGCCACTGTGGGGCCGGGGCGTTCCGGGGCTCCGCCGCTGTGGGGCCGGGGCGTTCCGGGGCTCCGCCGCTGTGGGGCCGGGGCGTTCCGGGGCTCCGCCGCTATGGGGCCGGGGCGCTCCGGGGCTCCGCCGCTGTGGGGCCGGGGCGCTCCGGGGCTCCGCCGCCGTGGGGCCGGGGCGTTCCGGGGCTCCGCCGCCGTGGGGCCGGGGCGCTCCGGGGCTCCGCCGCCGTGGGGCCGGGGCGCTCCGGGGCTCCGCCGCTGTGGGGCCGGGGCGCTCCGGGGCTCCGCCGCTGTGGGGCCGGGGCTCCGGGGCTCCGCCGCTGTGGGGCCGGGGGATCCTGAGGGCCTCAGGGCAGGAGGAGGAGGGCGCCCCCCAGCGGCCCCGCCCCGCCCCGCGCGTGCGACCCCCGGCACCGGCACCGTGCGCCGCTTCCACTCTGCACCACAGAGAGGAATATGGCCATGCTCTGTGTAGACCAACACCTTTAAAACTGGATTACAAGCAATAAAACAGTATAAATAAGAGCCTGGAGCAGTTCCCAGAATGCCAGACACAGCATCTTGGCACAGGTGGACAGACTCGTCCCTCCTCGATTTACTCCAAGAGCTGTTCAGGCAAACAGGGCAAGCCAGGCAGAGGCTGTGGGGCAAACATGTTACCCCCACATACCAAAACCCTAGAGCAACATGAACTGTGGTGTGTCCATGTAAATGAAAGCAGGAATAATAAATTAAACAGTGAAGACCATCATAGATCACAGAAAACATCATCCTACTGGAAGCTAAGGATAGAAAAAGGCTTGGAAAAGGTGTCCATCCTAAAGGTGTGCAGCCCCTTTGCTCATGGAGATCCAGTGATGGGACAGAGCTCGTTAGGGACAGCTCGTTACTCCTCAATGGCATCACACTGTAACAATATTCTAGTGGCGTGACTCGGTAACAGAAATTGAAGCCATCACCTCATTTCAATAGCTTAGCACCAGCATTTTGTAAGAAATCGGAACGTGCATGTTTTACCCTCAGTCACCAGCATCTCTCTGTTTCAGAGAAAAAACCCAGCACCCAAACACACATTTTATTGTTCAGGAATGAAAACCCCCAAACCTTTTGCTATCCCTTTTACACGCCTGCACATGAGTGGAGCTTCACACTGCACAGCTGCACCACGAGTAGAGCCGAGTGGGGTGGCCAAAGGTGGTTACCAAAGGTCCCTCTGCAGAGTGCTCGGTGATCTTCCAACAGTGTGGGGGATGCRTATCTTCTTGGAACAATCCTGCCTTTATTACCCCACAAAACTGGCAGGAACTTTTCCTTTGTACACAGCAAGTCAGCTTGACGATATTGAAGCCAGCCTAGAAAGTTATTTTGGTTTGCTCTGCCAAATCTGATCTCAAAAATCAGGTAAAGCTAAACCAGATTGCAGTGTTTATGTTTTAGCTCTGTAACATTTTAATTGGAAACATTCAATTTCCAGTGTTGTAAGACACCCAAAGAGCTGCTTAGGCCAGTGGGATCTTTCAGAACTAKCACTCTGTGCCTGGTAAATGAACTGAGATGTAAAAACACTGCAGCGTCACTGCTGGCCCTGTGTCAGAGCAGGATCAGGCTGGGTGGGCTCAGCCTCAGCCACGGGAATTGGTCCTGAGGTGTCTGCTCAGGGTGGGCTGGGAGCTCAGCCCCTTCAGGGAGGAGGGAGGGGATGTTCCCACCTCAGGGTGTCCCGGAGGTGCTGCTCAGGGTGGGCTGGGAGCTCAGGCAGCCCTTCAGGGAGGAGGGAGGGGATGTTCCCACATCAGGGTGTCCCGGAGGTGCTGCTCAGGTGCTCACTAGACACAACATCTGTGCAGGGATCAGGGATTGGGAATCTCCAAGGTTTAGCCCCTCTTTCAGGACATCTGAAAGAAGAAACTGGATCCCCNCTCTGCCCTCAGGTCATTCACAGGTGAAGAAACCTGTTGTTAACACAATTCCCAGACGGAATGTCACACTTCAGTGCTCCTGCTGACTGCTGCAGTGGCCCAAGAATGTTCATGGCTGCACTATGGTCAAATCTATTTGTGTTTCCATTMCTAAAGCTCAACAGACAGTGCCCACAGATGGAGACAGGATGTCTGACTGATGTGCCTTCCTCACATTCTCAAAATTATACTAATTGTGTTAGCAGGAGTCAAAAAATATACTCTATTTAGTCACATCAGGGGTCATTAAGTTTTTTTAACTTTCCCTTAAACATACATCTTGCTGTGRTCTACTAGACATGCCACTCATAATCAATTCTCTGCTTTAACTGGGATTGAATTATTAATGATTTCATCTTCTAAGAACTGCAGTTCTTTAGTATAGAAATCCTCATGCTCAAAAGCCCAAAGCTGTCTGTGAAAATGCAGTGATCTGATGCTCAGTTGTGATTTGAAAGTCACTGGAAATTCATAAGGCTTATAATTGACTGGGGAATAYAATTATTTCTAATTATAATTTAAAGATTCAACCCACCCCCCCCCAGTGCAAGACAGTGAGGGCCCACAGTGTGCCTGAGCCATGACTGCAGACACTCAGCTGTACAACCCTCTCAGCCCTGAATAAGCCYGACGTTTTCTTTGCAAAGGACGTACATGTTTCTGTTTCATAACAATAGATTCCAAGAGATTTTCCCCGTAATAAGGCTAAAAATACTTCCCCAGGCCCCATGGGAAATTAACCCTTGACTGTTTCCAGCAAGCGTGAAGTTCCTTAGCTGGTAGCAGCTAGTTTTAAAGTTTGCTGTTCAGCAAGCAGGCAAGARAACCCAAAACCCACTCCCTCATTGCAAACCATCTGGAAACAGGGGAATTGGTTTGATGACTCTTCCTAATGCTGTGGATAAAAAGTGCGTACAACATTTGCAGCGTTGATATTAAAAATAACTCATTTTATACTTATTTCAGTCACCAGAAATCTCAATCGAACTTCCAGGTTCTTCTAATCAACATCACTGTAAGTTGTTCTGACCTGTAAGACACAGAAAATTCCATTTAAAAGAGTGGCAGTGCCAAGCAAGGCAAGCAGGGATGGTGTGTGGCCCTGCAGGGCTGGTGTGTGACACTGCAATGCTGCTGTGTGACGCTGTCCTCACTTGCCACAGAATTGCTGTGTGATCCTGTAAGGCTGGTGTGTGACACGGGGCTGCTGTGTGACCCTGTCCTCACCCACCATGGGGCTGCTGTGTGACCCTGCAGGGCTGCTGTGTGACCCTGTCCTCACTCGCCACAGGATTGCTGTGTGATCCTATAAGGCTGCTGTGTGACACTGCAAGGCTGCTGTGTGACACTGCAAGGCTGCTGTGTGACACTGCTGTCACTCACCACACCGCTGCTGTGTGACACTGTCCTCATTCACCACACTGCTGCTGTGTGACACTGTTGTCACTCACCACACCGCTGCTGTGTGACACTGCCCTCACTCACCCACTGCTGTGTGACACTGCTGTGTGACACTGCAAGGCTGCTGTGTGACCCTAGCCTCACTCACCACACTGCTGTGTGACACTGCTGTGTGACACTGCTGTCACTTCCTGCCATCAGGAGAAGACGATGTAAACCATGAGGGCACAGCCCACGATCCAGCCGAGCGCCAGCAGCACGGGCACAAGCAGACGGGACAGCGGGGCCTGGGCTGGGACAGAGAACAGGGTCACGTTATGTTGACAGAGAACTGGCTAAATYCATTCCATCACAGCCAGGATTGTCCCAGAGCAAAGGGACAGCCAGGGGCTCAGGTCASTCTGTCTGTGATGGCTGTTCCCAGCACGGAGTCCCCGTGTGCTGGGGCCTGGCAGTGACAATGCAGAGCCAGAGCCTGGTGGCATTGCCACAGTCTGGTCTTTGYCACCAGACCAGGGCAAGGCTGGGCATTTCCAAAAACAGGGAGGGGATAAGCACAGGGGCAGTTCCACAGGGGAACATCCTCACTGGAATTAAAGCAGAGCCAGGATTGGAGCCCTGGCACCTGCAGCAGCTGCCAGGAGCCTCAGTGGGCTGGCAACAGGAAACCAAAAGCACAGTGCTGATCTAACATTGCAGCCAGTGCAGAGCTGTGTGCCCAGGGCTGCACTGAGGGGAGCTGGGTGGGCTCCCACACCCCAAAGGGATGCTGGCAGTGGCTGCAGTGAGGGATCCACAGCCCATCTCTCTGCCCACCACAGCCCTCCTGTTCTCCAGTGTTACGGGATAGCTTGGGCTGAGGTAATAACCCACTGCAGAGGTGTTCCTCCTTTCCAGCAGGGAAATAGCCCAGGTTTGGAATGTGGCTGTCCCAGGTGCCTGCTGAGGCAGGAGTCAGCAGCCCAAGAACAGCCCCAGCAGAGCCCAGGGCAGGCCATGGCTCTCTGCAGAGCAGAGGCAAAGCAGGACTGACTCCACATAAATGCATTTCCATACAGCATCAGCMTTTTAAAGACCCTTCTATCAGTTTCCTGCAAACAGCACACTCTTGCCAGAAAGCAGAATAAATAACCTTTGAGCTCCTRTTACTTACCAATATATTACAACCTCTTACAGCACATCTTTCCACAGTTAATAGAACTACGGTTTTTTTAAGGGATTAATAAATTATGTAAAACAATTCACAACACCTTGCACGGTTTAGATCAAGCAGGCAGGCTCGGAGGGACRGTTAATAATTTAAGGACTGTTCTTGTAAAGCTCTGCACAGCAAGCCTGTCTCACTGTGACACTGCACACTGTGTCTGCCAGGGGGAGAGAGAGAGCACAGACAGAAAATCTGCATGTGCTGCCATGAAAATATTAAACACATGAACAACCAGACAGGAAAATAATCTTGCCTTGAAACTGGGTGCCTTTTGCCCCAGGGAGCACCTCACCTGTTTCATTTAGAGACTGTTACTGCTTTGGCACTGTAAGGTGAAGCTGCTGGGGATCATTTCCCTGTACTTGCCCTTTCTCTGAAGGTCTAATCACAAACCCAGGGCTGGATCCTGCAGGGGTGAGCAGAGGAGTTTGTCAGAGCTCTGCTGAGGATACTGACTGGGGGGTTTGTTATGGGAGCTCCAGTTTAAACCAGTAGCAGGGTAATTTTTGTGGCTATCAATGAAAACTCGGGTAAAGAAACAGCATTCAGTATCCTGTTGTACCTCGGCAGAAACGCACTCTCCTTAGATACCAGAGTTAATGGTGTAAAACACCCAGGACATAAGTCTTTAAAAACTTGGACCATAGCTAYGAAGATGCATTAAATATGCACTCCCTTTACAAAGACAAGTGTTACCTGAGTAACTGCACACATCACACACCACACTTAGAGCCGTATGTTTAAGTGAAATAAATAAAAAATGACAATAGATTAAAAAATGCATTTTTCTAAACTGCCTTTTCTCCTTTGTGACACTGAAATGCGCTTAAAATGGAAAGGTTATTATTAAAATTTCATTTTGCTCTTTCACTTGAGCTTTGTGGGGTTAAAATCTAAATTATTCTGAGTTCACTTGGCACTACACTTGGAGCTCAGCTACACACAGTAAAATGAAAATGCTGTCAAACATAATTCATTTTACACATTTTGTTCTATTCTGTTAGCTAACTTGGAAAGACAACTACAAAAAACCACCCAAAAACCAAAACTGGTAGAATTCAAAAATACAGGAGGAACCCAAGCTGCTTTAAACTCATTGCCGTTAATAGAATTAGCTTCTGAAGTGATTAAACTTTCTTACTGAAAAATAAAATATATAAAGTGTATCAGACAAGAATGCARGCAGCTGAGTATATTCACACTGCAATGCTCAGACCTATTAATTTCAGTATATGGTTACATTCACATCTCATTGTGCCTCTTACCTGGTTCTGCCATTCCCTCTCTGTGAGTTTAATGGCAGGTTAAGGTTTGCCTCTGCAGCTGCTCTGGGAGCCCTGGGATGCTTTAAATAGAGCAATATTTGGAATGTGCTGCAGCTGCCTGGCTCACTGGTGCCAGGGGTTGGCTGCAAGCATTCAATTGTCTAAAACGGCAGGAATTCAGGGGCTCAAGGTTACMTCTGCCTCTCCCTCCAACTGCACCTCTGTTTCATAGTTAAAGAGGGGTTWGTTTATTGAAGAGGCAGGGAAACAAGGGTGAAAACTGCTTTATGGTCTCTCTGTAAGCCCTGAAGCCCCCGTGGTTAGTTCAGATAATATTCATGACCACCCCTACACTCACAGTGTGACAGGGATCTGGTGATCCTCAGTGCCCCACGTTCTCTCATCCCTCTGCAAAGTCCAGCCAAGCCCCGTTCAGGACTCCTGTGCAGGTATTCCTGTAGTTATCATTCTCTGCTAAGCACCAGCAGCTATCTTGGACAGGTAGGAGACACTGAGTCCCAAGGAAGGGCTGCTTTACAGGGATCTGTGCAGGGGCAGAGCAGGGGGTGCAGGAAATGCCCAACATCACACCCACACCACAGCTGGGGGGGCCAGCCCTTCCCCAGGCACCCCCTAAGGAAGGTGATTTCATGACTGCTTCTCCAAACTGGCACAATCTTAAAATAAAACTCAGGGCTATAAAACACTTTCTTATGCCACGCACAGTTCAGCCTATCACAACATTCTGGGACACGAGAACAAACTGTGAGCTTTACTGTGTTTGTCTGGCTTTACTGTACAGCARATCTTTTTGGGAGAAGATCCAATTTGTTGTAAAAAGGAATATGACTCTGTGTAAAATCTTTATTGGAAAAAAAAAAAAATCTCTGATGCAATAACTTCATTGGCTGCACAGCTGTTCCTGTAAGAATCCTATCTGATTCTGCTAATTATATATATCCCTCTGATCTCATGGAAATAATTTCCACCAGGAACCATGTACTCCTGACAAGACCATCTGACCTTCAGGGATTGGGATCCTTCCAGGCCCAGTTGCCACCAGCAAGGACAGCAAGTCATTGCTGCTCACACCASTTTGGGCAACTCCCCCACAGTGAGTGTTGTCCTGCACGTCCAAAGCCTGAGTTAGAGGGTAAAAGTTGTAACTGCACCAAAGAATGGAGTAACAATACTGACATTATTTTAAACAACACAACTTCTGTTGGGAGCTGAGAAATGAACTGCAGACGTCAGTTCTACAACAGAGCTCAGTCTAACTGCCAAAATAAAAGCAGAAGGACAGTTTCAAAATATAAAAACAAGGCAAGGACACAAGGCTTAAGAAAATACTCAGAATGATCCATGGCAAAACACATCTACTGCTTTGCTAGTGGAGGGAGAACAATACACAAGAACAATTCCCTCGTTTTTATTTGTGTTTGCAATTACGTGATCATTTTTTTATGTTTTTCCCTCTGTGTTTGTGCTGGGACACTGAGATACTAAATATCCAGAGTTCCACTTGGATGGGCAGTGAGGCTCAGAAAGGAGATCTTTTTAGCCTCCAGCTCCCTGAGGTGCTCAAAYATTGTCTCAGGGCAGCTCTTGGGGCAGCCTCCTGGATTTCATTCCCATAATCTGCTTGAAGCTGGAGATCACTTCAAATGCTTTAAACTCTACAGTGCTTTAAGGGAAGAGGGGCCAAAATTAGGAAGAACAGAGCAAGGCAGCAGGGCTGCAAAGCTTTCTGTAAGATGAGTTTTTTTAAGGGGAAAAGTCCTTTTAGTGCTTGGTGTTTGGGCARGAACTGTCAGAACCTTACTGACCTCTCCCCACTTTGCAAAGTTGGCCATTTTTAGTGTAAAAATACCCAGTATTTTGAGAGCACATCCCAGTCTTCATCACTGCACCAGTACCCAAGGGATCAAATACTGGAATGTCRCATTTCTGTCTTTGTTACTGTTCTTGTAAGCTCTGGGAATCTGCACCCACAGGCAGGAGGCTGGCAAAGAAATGCTTTGTTTTACAAATTCTATATGATCCCTATAAATAACTGCAGCCTACATTGCTTTAGAGGAGATTACAAGGACAGATCAACTCATCTTCACAAAAGGAATGCTCCAAGTCATAAAATCTTTATAGCTTTGTAATACTGGTATTAATTTTTAAATCACATTACTTTCAATTGATCTTTTTTCTTTAAGAAAAAGCCCCGATTTAYTAGCAAATCAAAAGCCAGGTTTATATGCCTTGAATTATTTTATGACTTTACCATACTCTCTTGTGACCTGCAGACTAACATGAGAATATCAGATTATTGCATTCACAAAATAGGTTTATGTGCGGAAAATTTGTCTAATGAAATGCATTTTATTAGTCACACCAATCTTAGCATTTGAAAGCTCCCTTACAGATTGCTACACATTACTTCTACTCACATTTACATCAGGAAAATAAAGGCTGATTTATTTGATAACYATGCAGCTGAAGACCTGAAAAAATCCGTGTATTAAGCTACTAAATAATTAATTCCAATGCTGCTTCTTAAGGCTCGGGTGTGCACATCATTTCTCCTGGCATCACTCAGCTGAATGCTGAGATAGAAAGCACAGCTGCAAACACAATGGGGTAACAGCAGCACGTGTAGGACACCCCATGAGACAYCCCCTGTCCCCCCTGGAGGCTCAGAACAGCATCGATAACCTGCTGGGCTGTGCCTGGTCCAGCTCCATTCCCTGGCTGCTAAGAGATGGTAAATTCCTCTGGAGCTGCCACAGGCAGGGCTGGAGGGCACAGCCTCACACCCCATTCACCAGAGCTGGTTCCTGTGGGCCCTGCAGAGCTGGGGCTGCCAGGGGAGGGGAACCAGCCCAGCAGGGGATGGCAGCCCTGAACACACAGCCCAGGGGCTGTCACACACTTTATCAGAGCCACAGCAGCTCYAGAGCCCCGTCCTTCCCTGAGCTGAACTGGCACTGAGCCCCCAGGGACAGCTCTGGGTCAGCCACAGGACAGGCTTCAGACWCTCCATATAAAAACAGCACCATTTCTTCCTGTGCAGTGATTATTATTCTGGAAGGGAACCCAGCCCATCACACACCATAAATCTGCAGGGATTTATGACTTGAGAAATGGCAGCTTTCTGGAGGACGTGAGTTATGATTTATACATTACTGCTACCTGTTGCTGGGGCTTTCACTGTCTACTTGGCACTTTCCTSAGAATTAAAAGGCATTTCATGTGTCACTTGGATTCACACTCAATCCTAAGTCCTGGACCAAGTCAGAACTCCAGCCTTACCACACTGCATTTTCTGTGTGATTTTTCTGCTGTGACAGAACATGGAGTTAATAATTACTCCACTCTTTCTTTGGACGAGAAAAAATAGCCTGCAGTGCACCCTCTGCAGCACTGTGCTCCTGGAGGGGCTGCTGCACTTCCACTCTTTGCACTCATTTTGCAGACAACCATTCAGGTCATCTTCTCCCTCCTTTCCCAGGTGATTCTGGCCTCAGCTTCCCTGATTCCACTCCTCCATGGAGATGTTCCCTCCTTTTGCACTCCATCTACCTGAGGGAGATCACGAGAGAGATCCTTGTCCTTTCTTTTCCTATAGCTTATACATTCCCTTTTAAATGAAACCTCTGTGCTGGGGAAAACAGCATTTTTAAATTTACCATGGCAAATCACCTAACTCAAAAAGGCTTTGCAAGMTTTGGAAAGCCATGAACATACAACCGAGTTTTACCTGACCAGAAATAAAGCAGTCAAAAGCAACAGAAATGGACAATCTCAGGCACAAATTAGAAGATAATCTTATTTGTAAGAAGAGAGCAGTTTTAGAAGGAAGATATGGCTGCAACCACTGAGTCTGTAGAGAAAAGGTGTGTGAAGAACAGCAGCTCCAAACTGGTGCTGCAGTTCCCTCTGGTGACAGCCAGAGTGAATTCTTATTTGCAGGGAACCAAGATATTCTGCTGCATCAGTCAGCAGAGCCACTGCAGCTCCATGCACACAGAAAAGTGTGGGGTGGGATTTTAAACCACTGTACTTGGAACTTCCCTCAGGAAAGACATATTCACTGTTTTGGGGCTTTGGAAAAGGAGTTTCCCCACCATGGGGTGCCTTTGCCTCTGTTCAAATCAATCCTAAACAGTCACAGGAAATGAAGCAGCTGAACCCCTTTCCCCAGCCTGAGGTTCCTCTGGCACTGGCCAAAGGTGCTCCAAAGTGCCAGGCACGGGCACTGTGGCTSCTGTTCAGATCCCTGAGTACCTAAGAGCAATATTTACATGCAGGAACACAGGCCTTGCTGCTTGTTTGACATCCATTCTCCCTGCCCTTCTCATTTCTGTCGGTTCTTCATTGAGAATGTTTTTTACCCCAACCTAAGCTCCCAGAATTGACTGGGTTTAGCTTTTGGAAGCCAGTTCTTGGTTWGGGTTGGAAGAGAYCTTAAAGCCCATAGACCCTTTATCACATCCAGGAGTGTTCCTGACTCCCAGAGCTGAATCCCAACCCCAGGAGAGCTCCCTGGCTCCTGTCCTGGCACAGCCTGGCCAGCCCTGGACACTGTGCCCGGCCCAGGGCAYCCAGAGCTTGGCTTTGGCCCTGCTCAGCTGAGATGGAATGGGTGAGGACCCAGCAGGTCACACAGCCCCTCCAGGACCTGAGGAGTGGCCAGCTCTCCTGGAATCCCTGCTGCTCCAGCAGATGGCAACCCCTGCCCACAGTGCCGGCCAGCCAGGCCAGTGAATGGCTCAGCGTTTGGAAAAAAGTCTTCTGAATGATAAAGAAAAATTAAAAATCAAGTATTCCTAGAATGAATTACATTACGTAATGTTTACATAGGATAAACATCAGTTTGTCTTGGATTTCTGGATGCAAACCTCTCCTCTTGGRATACAGAGCCTACAGATGGAAAACACTGAGGCAGCTCTCCCTTTTCCCTCAGTGATRCCTCACAGCCACAGACACCAGGAAAGAATTTCAAACACTCACCACGTGAGAGAAGATCAGCACTGGGAAGAGAGCTCCTTCTGCAACAGCC